GTGTATGACGTAACGTGTTTGCTTCACGTGTTATGAAGCATGTGAGTTGTCTTTGATTTGCGATGGAAACAACGCTCTTTTGCACAGTACTTGTTTTAGCTCCATATCGGACATACCAAGACGCGTTTTAAGCCCGTAAAACTGCGCAATTTGTGCCGTTTTCAAAGGGGCTTTAGAAGGCAATTCTTCAACGGTCGACGGAATCCTTCAAAGTGTTTGAAAAATTTAAAACTTCCTATTGTTAGATAGAAGAAAAGTAAAGCTCTTATGCTAAGTTTACCCCGAGTTATAGTTTTGTAAATTGTTTCAATGCGAATACCGAGAACCAGATATTTTTTGCATATTTAATGAGGCAAAAAGCTATATTTTCGTTTTTTGTGAATTTCTCCAAGACTTTAAATTCTAAGAAAATCGGAATAATATTTTCGAAAGCGGCTCCCTAAAAGCGTTCTTTAGGCAAAGGTTCAGGATTTACGATTTTTCTAACCTGGCCAGCCATCAGTCGATATTTCCAGTCAGTGACTCTTAAAACGTATTTTTTAAAAGTTTCTAGGGTGAAGTTCAGTCGTAAAGTTTGCTAAAGTTCCTATGAAGTAAAAAATAATTGCTGCTGATTTGAAAGGCTTTTCAAAGTAAAGAAGAATGGCGTTTTTCTTTTTGGAATATCTCTTTTCGTTTTAGAGATATTCACGTTTTTGTATTATAAGTGATGACGTCATAGGTGGTTCCACTAAAACAGTTCAACACTCAATCAAGTATATCTCTAGAAATATTAAAGCAGTGTTCTTTAAACTTTGCACCAGAAATTTACATCACAAAAGAAACAAAATGGCACCCGTCGTGCCGTCGAAATGACAACAGTGATGCCGCTGGTCCTGTTTTAATTAAAACTAACATTACCAGATTTTATCTTAAACAAGGATCATCCACTCCCAACAATCTAATGGGGAGAGTTAAGACAATATGGGAATCATGTATGTTCCGAGCAAGACCCTCTGTCCCTTTTCGAAAGGTTGCAAATTGGCGTATTTGGTTTTTCACAGAAAGAGACTGGAGCCAAAAGTGTTGCATGGCAACAACACAGAAGATGTCATTCTGTTTCTTTTGTGATGCGCATTTGTGGTGCCAAGTTTGAAGAACACTGCTCTTGCACTGATATTTTTGATTCAGTGTTTGACTGTTCAAGTGGAACCACCTATGACGTCATTACTTTGCTCATTTGCATAATACAAAAAACGTAAATATCGGTAGAACGAAAAAAGACATTCCAAAAAGGGAAATGCCATTCTTCTTTACTTTTCTCCTTTCCTTTCAAATAAGGAGCAATTATTTTTTTACTTCTGGTTGCAAATGTTTCTCCAACAAGCAGAAGCTATACATTGTGGAATAGACTTTTAGAGATATAGAGACGTTATTCTGTACGATTATCTGCCATGCACACACATGTAGATCATTTCACTACTAGCCTTGTAGTCATTAAACATGGTGTAAGCTTACAACTGCATGCAGTATTTGTTATTGACTTATGCATATTACGCTTCAAACTGTCCAAAAGACACATGTAAATGTAAGCCTGTATGTAATACTCTCAGCAAATCTGAAGTGAATTCAATTTGGATGTAACCTTCTTCAGCAGAGAAACTTTTCATGCTAGTGTCGTCGTTGTAAATATTCTGAAATTAAAGCCTTAATACACATGTACCCTTACACAATGCATTGCTCTCACTGGTACTNCCTTCTTCAGCAGAGAAACTTTTCATGCTAGTGTCGTCGTTGTAAATATTCTGAAATTAAAGCCTTAATACACATGTACCCTTACACAATGCATTGCTCTCACTGGTACTGATACCACATATTGTACAATTTTCTTTCACAAAAAAAAAAAAGATTCTGTAGAAAAAGGTACGGAACATGTGCTGCAGCCTTCTACATCTCTATGGTTGACACAATGACTACATGTACATGTTTGAAACTGGGCTCTTGCCAAGATAAAAGGTGTTCATGTAGCTGTTTGTCAACTTGAAGTTGAAGTAGATTAAGTAGTGTGGTGAGCTTTTGAAACTGACAGAAAAGTACGGAGGCCTGCTGACTTAAATATATAAATTAAAATCTTTCAAAAACTACAATATAAACTTACACATTAAAA